TATATTTGTGTAGTTTTCTGCAAGGTAAGAGAACTTATGTTTTTACAAACTCCTGGGTGGGAGCTATCACTCAGTTCATGGAGTCTTTGAGTACTTAAGGCTGGAATACATTTCTGGAATCATCTAGTATGATACCCAGCTCAGAGGAGGGATCAGCTCTGCATGTAGACTGCAGTGCTCAGGAATACACAGAAATCTTGGATTTTGAAAGATCAGTGTTTTTAATATAAAATTAGTATTACTGCATGTGATGGAATAAAACAAACTGTTAGGGGATTTTGTAACTTTGTATCTTACATGTGGATCTTAATTGAGGAACAAGTCAAAGACAGAAAAGTGACAAGAAGGGTGGATGGAAGAGGAGAAGGCTTTTATTACTTTAACTCCTTGCTGGCAGCTTAACTTCCAGTGAATTTTTTTCATTTTTTTCATTCAGTGAATTTTTAGTCATTGGAGTGAATTAGACATTCTGAGGAAAAGACAAATAATGCACAATCAGAACTACCCCCAAATTACAGTTTTGATTGCCAACTAGCAATTTTAGTAACTTGTATGATATATGTCATTAAAATATAGGTATCTTTCAGTAAATTACAATTACCTCCTGATGAGGTCTTTAGAAATAATTTTTCTTTTCTATAAAGAACTTAATAAAATAAGCCACACTAGAAGGGAGTAAGGAATTCTAGTTAGGGGTACAGAAATGTCATACCTGTTTTGACAGATATAAAGTCTGATAGAGACGCAAATTGGGTTTCCATGTTAATGAAAACAAGTGAGAATCGACAGCACTGTAAATTACATTTTACTCTACATATACAACCTAGATAAAGTGCTAATTAAACTATCATGTGCAAGTTTATAGGGTAAATGTTCTTTTTCTGCTAAGGCATTTTTTGGATGCCATGTCTTGACAGTGCTGTGGTCACCATTCCTTAGCTGAAAGGGGAATAAAAAGTTCCATGTTAATTGAGAAGTGTATCTCCTGGCCACAAACAGTTGTAAACTGTATGATGTATCATCTTAATATTTCATTGGTATCTTGCTTTTTGCTGTTGTAAAATATTCCATGCCATATTTATTTCATACCATAATTTTTTGATAGCTTTGTTACCATGACTATTGCATCGTTTGGAGACAAGGTTTTTAATTTTCTCTGGGGTGCTGCAATTGCAAAGCCTGTTTCTCAGGAAAAAAGTACTACTGCTTTGTCTATTAAAAAAAGGTCATTATGACTATTTGTATTTTTCCTTTTGCTATGAGAAGGGATTTGCGTCTGATACATTCTCCTATATCAATTCTTGGGTTTCTTTTTAAAACATTTGTTTTCATGGTTTTGTGGAATGATTTTAAAAATAGCCTAATACATTTAAAAAACAGAAGGATCATCTTGGCAGTTCTCTGTGTACTTAGACTGCTGTGTCAGTGGTGTTTAAAGTGTAAGAACACTGCACATGATACACCTCAAATACTCGAGAAACCTGGTTTCTAATACTTGTAAAAGGGGGAAAATCCATGCTATATTAAATGTAAAATACATCATTTGAAAACTGAATTCAGTATTTTGGTGTAGATGTCCTTTTTACAATTGACATTAAAATGAGTTGGAATTGTGAGGAAATAAATTTTTTAATACTTGTATCTAAAACAATTAGCAAGTATAATTCTGTATTTTCCATCATAGCAATTTTTCTAAAAGCAAATTCCTCAGGTGAATCAGACCTTCATGAGCCTTGTTTGTGTTAGTGAGTTCTGAAGTATTATATAAGAATCCCGCAACAGAAGTAATTTTGAAAGCTTTCTTTTGAGCTGTGTAAACAGTGCTTTTACAGCAGGACTTTTTGTTGTGTTTTCTGATCTTCTCGAAGATTACCATACACTTTACTACATGTTCTTTGTCCTATGGCTTTCTTTTCCCGCTGTATTGCATATCATCCATTTTTCTTGTTCTCTTCCAGTTTAAGTTGTTTTCCCAGGTACCAGGTGACTTCAGAGGTTCTTAATCGCCCACATATTTCTCTATTAAGAGTTTAGCCCTACTCTCTTGCTGCTCAGTTTTAACTCCCTCTTATGGGTAGTTATGGGTGGCTTTTGGGAAGGGACTGAAGCATCTGCTACTCAACAGAAGAATGGGCAGTCATATAGTGAGGAAAAGAAGCTCTGAGAAGGTAACACTCTCATTGTTGAGTTCTGCAAAGGACTTGATTATCCAAAAGTGAAGCTCTCAGGTGGGCTGGAATTACCAGTCAGTACTGGTTCAGCTACTCTGTCAAACTGCCTGTTGGTACTCCTTTCTCTGCCATATTTTGGGCAAAACCCATGGACTAGTTGACCTAACTTACCTGCAATAATATGTTTATGATGACATAGTAAAGAGCTGTCTAGGACATGATCTGTGTGTGATAGGACTGAATTTTTGTTGTCATCTGGACTCCTGCAAATACAAGTTGTTAATATGTTGATCATTTAATGACATTAGTGATACCTACTATTGGTTAACATTTGAAATTGGGTATTTTCTCTGACAGGAAACTCAAGGGAACATGATAAGTTATGGACGTGGAACAGTAGGAATAAAAATAGTAATTCTTGCAGGCACATTGATAAACTAATGGGCAGTAGAGATCATAAGGCACATTTATGGATCTTGTTTCTACTGCTGAAATACTTTTTATACTGTAGTAATTCAACACCAAAGTTAAAGCTAAAAAAAAAGGCAAATAATTAATTAATGGGTTTTTTTACAAATGTTAGACTAGACTAAAAAAAGTAAAAATTGCAAGTTCTACCCGTCTTGCTGTACTTGTGGTTAACTGAAGACTGGTAGCATTTCAGGCCGAGAAAAAAACTGGTTTATTGCTAGGAGGTAATGTACTTTTTAAGTAAAGTGTACATTAAAGCTTTACAGAGCAAGCTAGTGCAGCTTTTACAGCTCTGTACTTAACATCCTTACCTAACCAGTGCTGTATTTGGCCCTGCCTTGTATGGCACTTGTCACATTAGAAAAAACCCAAACACTAAGCAACTTGCAATTGAACCTGAGATGAATCAAGTAAGTTATGTGCACTAATGCAAAATCTGTTACTTTGCCTTGTAGCTAAAGAATATCTCACAACTGTTTGTGGCATATCCTGTCACACGTGCATATATGCCTGTGTGTGTGCACACACAATCTAACTAATGTAAATTGATAGCCATGGTGGTTTTCTGTCAGTTTGGGCTAGGGATTGACATTAGGGATGATATACCTTTTGCTTCCTCGTGTCAGGGCTGAGGTGTACAAGCAGACTAATATCAATAAAGTTGTATCTAATTTTGTGACGTTGCTATCAGTTTATGGTTTGATTGATCCTGGTGGGGCTGATGATTTTACTTACAATGCCAATGGATGTTACTGTAAAAGGTCTGTCAAAGTAGTTGCATGCTCTGCTATAAATTTTTAACGTGGGTTCTAGGGTCAAAAGAAGAGATCCTCCTTAGTGTTCCATCAATGGCCTTCTGTAGCTGGACCCTAGTACCTGCATCTGTCTTTTAGTTACCAGGCCTTATTTTTCCTCTACACTAAGCCATATTCTTTTGAAAATAGTGTGTAATCTTCTTATGTTAAGTACATTTTCTAGGTTAATATGAGTTACTAGAAACAAAGTTGTTGATCTGAGAGCTTTTTGTCATTTATCTTATGGCAATTTCCCATAACAGGGTATTTTTACAAAATTATTAATTCTGTTCTGTCAAATAATGGTGTCTGCCGCTTGAAGTGTGTGGAGATAGAAGACTCGCGTTTGGCATCGCAAATATGATTGACCAAAGTGAAGTTTTGTGAACCTGTAAAAATCCTATGAATGTATTTTAGTTTGATTAATGTTTCCATGTAAAATTTGATTATATATTATATATATTGCCTAGTATTTGGATTTGTTTTCAAAGTACATCTGTACGTATTCTCTTAAATCGTAAGTGGAATGATTTCCAAAATGAGGTAAATTGTTTTGCATATGCTTATTCTTAGCACACGTGTGTTCACTTGAGCACAATACATGTTATCATTCTTGTAAAAAATTAGGGAGAAAATTTTTAATTAAGGAGAAAAGTTTCTTCAGCTTTTGTTTTGAACTGTGAATTTGTTTCTATTTAATTCTTTTGATGTAAAGAGTAATACTAAAATCCTTGAAATTATCTCTGATAATTTCTGTTTTCCTTTAAGTGATGATTTTTTGCTACTCTGGGTACTATCCTTTGAGTATTGTTTCACAGCAGGCCGTGGTTCATGATTAGCAATGTCAGAACTCTTTTTTGCTGTTGGGTGACTGAGCATCAGTTGAATCTGGATCACTTTGACTTCTTTGTTTAGTATAAATGCATGTTATAGTTTCTGTTAATATACTACAGTTTTATGCTGGTTTCAGAAGGATGGTCAGTATCTGAACTAACATATCAGTAGCGTAATATCATTTTTCAGAATATGTTCTACCACCAGGTTAAGTCAAAACTATTGGAAGAAAGATGAGCTGGCAGACTGAGTTTATATACCATAATATAACATATCAGAGCTTGGTTTCCAGTCAACACAAGCATTTTTGAATCATGAAGTCAGATTGACTATTACTGAACCATGGCCTTTAGGCAATACTGTAATAAGACCTCTCTATTTACAGTTAAAATGTAAATATAATTCTTTTTAGTAAAAAACACTATGTGAAGATGGATTTTTTTCAAGTTGATTACATAACTGTTTGGGAGCTTTAAACTGCTACATATGATAAATGAAACTTGTGATATTTATTCTTTAACACACAAAAATGTACAGCATTGTTCTATTGAACTTACCAATCCATTTGATATTATAAAAACAAGACAGTATAGTTAACTTTGTTCCTTGTACTATTTTTAATCAATGGAAACTTTTGAAAATTTTAACGCTTTTATTTTTATGGGGTAAATGGGAATGTTTTAAGTTCTAAGAATGATAGGTTGATCATGAAAACTATGTTTACTTTCAGAGAGAACAGGAAATGAGAATGGGTGATATGGGTCCTCGTGGAGCAATTAACATGGGAGGTAGGGATCTGAAGGAAAAAGGCTTCTGTAATGTAATTTTTTTTTCTTTGGGACTGTACATGTTACTCAAGCACTATTAATCAGTGACAACTACTGGTAAAAAGGAGTAAGCAATATTAGGAAATAAAAAATACCACATATTTTGCTTTGAAACAGGTTCCTCCCCCAGGTGTATCTTTATTTTATTGCTTTGTCTATACATGGGAAAAAAATAAGATGTGCAAGTTAAGAAAAACAAAAATCAGGGAAGGGTGATGCTTTTGAAATTATCTGATGCAAAGAGGAATTTTATGTTCAAAAAATGTTTGGCATTCTTTTGGAGGGACTATCTTTTCAGAGAAGTTGGTACTGTGATTGCATGCAGTGAAATGATGGAGAGATCAAAATTGGCAAGTTCTCGATGAGGTTAATGAATAATGTGGTTGGTGTTCTACTAAGTTACTGCAAACCTGTATTTGCAAATATTCTCAGTTCACTCTTGTGACTTTAAATATTGTCACTACTAAGAACTGTTACTGTGAAATCTAGAAAAGTATGATAATTAGTGCTTGCTCCATATATGCAGACTGAAACCATTTGGAATTTTACTTATCCAGTATATCTGCTTTTAAACAAGACTGAAACTTAGAGTGTTTCTTCAGTAATACCAAATTTCACTAAACTGTATTAACCATCAATATATATCTATCGGAAACTTCTAATGTTAATTTAAAATAAATTGATAGTTTAAGGAAAAGTAATAGAACTATTTTTCTGTATTAAAACTTGAAGTTACATATGAAACTTAGTGAACATTGTTGCTTGACCTTTTTGAGTAATGGGAGCTTATAGACTAATGAATAGACTAACGAATCTGCTTGGTTCAGCTTTTAAAATACGTTATTCACAATTTCCTTGCATTTATTAATTGAGACACATTTATAGCTGCAATATAGAAACAGGCTTTTTCTTTTGTGGATGATGAAAAGCTTGAAAAATAAATCTAAAGGAAGACATTGTGAAGTTATAAGTAATGAACTGAAGCATAAATTGTGACTAAATTTTTTATTTTATTGTTGTACCTTTGCATATCATTGCAGCATACTTGAAAATTTCGTTTAACTAAGAGACTTCATAAATATTGATACTGTGCCTGTTGTCCCGATCCACAAGATACACTTTTTACAACCATATTTTAAGTGTGTATTTACTGCAATTCTTTCCAGGTTGTAATGCTTAACAGTGATGTTCTTGGTCTTGTTTTCTAGCTTTTAAACCTAATACTTTTAGAAATAAGTTACGTACTTCCAAAAGAAGTTAGGGTAACTCTGAGCAGCTATTTTAAAATATCCACAGCAAATACATAATCAAAGTGTCTGGATTTTAGGTTAGCTCACTATAGAGATTTTGTTTTTTCTCCAGTATTTTAGCAACTCCACAAGTACAACCAAAATAATCTGATCCCAAAACCTTACAGTAGACCTTTAAATAGTAGATCTTTAGTTATTGACCTTAGCATCCGTTTTCAACATTGCTGTCAGAATTGTGACTTTATTTTTAACTGACCCTTGCCTGTGCCATTTGCAGCTTTTCATCATATGGGACAGTAGAGACCTGGAATATCTTCAGTAATGGAAATATCTGCATTATATTATTAGAAAGCAGAGTGCCTCTGTGACAGATTTAATATGTGTTGGGCTGACTTGTGCAGAACTGCTCTTTCTTGCAGTTATCTGTGACAAGTTCTGGGAGAATCTATATACCTCATCATAGCACTTAGTTGGATCTGTGATGCTAAGTGCAGCTTATAAACTTCAATATGTAAAAAAGGAAGTTTTTTTGGGAACTATGTCTGCATTGAAGGGGATTATTGACTGGCGTGTTGCCAGCTGTGGCAGACTTTGCTAAGTGCAGTTCAGACATTTATAATATACTTTTTCAGCCCTCCAGTTTGCAGAAAAAGACTTTTTTGGTTTTTAATGTCTGTGCATTGTTGCATGAACACTGGTGAGGGCTTTCCATCTGTTTCTAAACGTGGTCCTGTAAGTTAACTGCTAACATCAGTGTCCCACCAAAAAGAATGGGCAATCAAGTTGTTAGGAGTTGTTAGCAACTCTTTTGGAGCTAGGAGGATTTTGGAGGACCACTGAGTTAAACTTAAAATGGTATAGTGGCCTCTTGCTGAAAGTGTGCAGGACACCATTCTCTCCTTTTATTATACTCTAGAATTTTCCTCCTGTTAGAGCTGACTCTCAGAAACCGGATTAATATTATAGGTGTCATAGTATAGGTTGCTATATGTCACTCTAGAAGCACCATGGGTGCATTTGTATGACACAGAGCATGAGAACTTTGTTGCAGTTAACAGATAAGTGATGCTGCCTGTGTATGGCCAGGTGGCTCAGTTTAATTAGGCTGATAAACCAATAACAATAATTTAGCATTTAGGTAGTGGCACTACTGCCTGTGCCGATCACTGCCATCATGATAGTCCTGCAGAGTAGGAAGAGCTTCCAAAAAGAAAAGTTTCTTCTTATACTGGCAGTTTAGACTTCTGCTTTTTCTTCTCTACTTAGCCGCTCAGTGGAAGATACTAAAAACCAATTTTGGGGTAATTATCTTGAATTATAGCATAATCTTCTGTCTACTTCATGAACTAATCACTTGTGTGGGTAGATAAGAAGCATCCAACTTGAGCATACCTATGTTTCGAGTTAGTGTCGTAGGGAGAGGTCTGGGAGTTTCTTATTACTATACACAAAGGAGTTCTACTTTTCAAAATTACAGAATTTTTCTCTCTTCTAGTAGACTTTTTCAGCACTTTACAGGTGCTGCTGTGTTGCATGGATTGCTTTGGCTAAACAGTTTGCAGTTGGCATAATGATCAAACGCAGGTCTTCAGTTTCAGCAGCAATATCTTGCACGCCGTGGTTTCACTGACTGTTGTGATATGTGTACTCAAGGCAGGTAATACAGATGTAATTTTGCGTACCTGCAGATAGCCATAGTACTCTGTGCTGAATGGCCTGCTTACAATCATGTATGTTTGTATATTCGTTACTGAAGAAGTACAGTCATGATGAGAAGTGAGAGGGTTTATTTTTAAAATAACAAGCTTAGTAGTCTAGCAAAATATCAGACTTCTTTGTATTCTTACGCTGTATACTTTTAAGTGTAGGCTAGATTCCGAAGGTACGTCTTCTTCCGTTATCAAGTTTTGGATGCACACTTCCATAAAAATGGATTTTCATTGAAAAGAATGGATTATTTGGGAGGAGGGAGGAAGGAGAATGCATCATCACCAGTCTTGAAGTTGATGATATTTCCTAATGGCAGATGTGAGCTATATAATCAGACTTTTTCCTTTCTTATAACAACAGGAGAAAATGTTATGAAGGCATTTTTACCTACGTCTTGAGTATATTAATGAGTGCTGGCAGAGTGGTGTTTTCTGGTACAATATTATAGCTAAATGATCTCCTCAAAATATGTTTTCAAGCTTTTTTCTAACTCTTACTTTGAATCAGAATTTTGGAGGAGACTGTTCTGTCACTTTGGGGTCTAGCAAAATATCCCATAGTTTTCTGCTACTTTTCCCATAAGAAATTACAGCTAAATGCAAGATTTTGTTTATGCTGTATTACTAATAATTTATTGTGAAGCTGAGTACCATCTCTGGTATTACTTTTACTGTACACTATATACAATTAACATAATAATGATAGAAGAGTACGTGCAAATGTACTTTTCATGTATTGTGATCCCGAAAGAACCAAGTTGCCTTATAGCTGCCACTATCTGTAAAATGACCTGAGATTTTTGCCCATTTGTGGTGTGTAATACTGCATATATATGCTATATGAATGCTTCAGTTCCTGCACAGAAACTGTACACCTGTAAAGCTATAAAGGTTGGGATTTTCAAACACGAGGCAAATTATGTAACGCAAAATAATAGGGATTATTGAGAATCTGTTTAAAAGCAGATGGTTGAGATAAATGTACAGTCTCAAAGAATATATATTTTTTTATTTCAAGTATTTGAAGTCTTGTACATTTGGCTTTTAAAATATTGTAAATTGTTTGTTTGTTCTTGTAAAATTAAGATAGGACAGCTCTAAGTATAGATTGTTTTGCATAGATGCGTTTAGCCCAGCACCTGCTGGTAACCAAGGCCCTCCTCCAATGATGGGTATGAATATGAACAACAGAGGAACTTTACCTGGCCCTGCAATGGGTCCTGGTCCTTCCATGGGACCAGAAGGAGCTGCAAATATGGGAACACCAATGATGCCAGATAATGGAACAGTGGTAACGTATCACAAATTTAATTACTTTGAATAGCTGTCATGTCTCATGGCCCATTTTTGTTACCAAAGGTATTTTCACGCTGAATAAAAATGTTACAGATTTTGAATCTGTTGAAAGTAATTGAGAAAACTTGTTCATACAAATAATTTACAACACAGAAGGGCAATATTTTTTTGACGTTACTATGAAAATTCTACTTACCTTAGGAACGGTAATCTGTAAATTTAGACTTTTGCTGTTCTTTTCTTTTGTAAAACTAAATTCTTTGAATTAGCTTTCAGGGGTTTTGATGAACGGTTAAATGTTGAAAGCTGTGTAGTGTGAAGATATCTTTGTGTAAACTATTTAATTTTCTGAAGCAACTTTAGTGTTCTCTCTGTTTCTTTTCTAACACTGTAAAATGCATGAGATTGTGACAGTAATTACACCACTGAGAAAATCAATATGGCAACAGCTGTTGGGAATAACTCTTGTATCAATACAGGAAAAATAGTATTGCCCAATTGCCATGGGTGGTAGGGAACATCTTGTATGCATCTGGAATTTTTAATCAAGAGCAATAGGCCATTGGGTTGCAGTTAAAGCACTAGCCATTTTTGCTTTGTTCTCATAGCCAGTTACTTTTCCTAGCTGTAATGTCTTATGTAGAGAAACAACTATATCGCTTTCAAATCTGATTTTTTACATATTTTTTCAGTACTATTCTGTTAATAGATGTTTGGGTTACTGGTGGTGTGATATAAAGGAGTATATAGTATTAACAGTGATTCTGTTATAGTTTTATTGGAACACAGAAGCATTTTGTAGCTGCATCTTTTTATATATGCCTTCTCAACAGTATCTGTCTGTGATTGAGCAATCTGTATAATGAAGTTTAAACAAAAAATTTTGTTCCTTAGAGGAAAAATGAGATTTTGATTTTGTACTAAATACATGATGAGTCTGGTCTTTACAAATTAAAAAGGAGAGGGTCTCACTTCATGTTGTAGGAGCCAGCTCATTTTATCAGTTGTATAATTTCTCACAAAGTAGGGAAGATGCTATTCACAAAACACTGGTTTTGGAGATGCTTTTACTGTAGACCACTGTGTTATTGGTCACCTCTAGAACATTCTCTTGTGATTATACAGACATTGAAAAAGAGGTGTACAGAAAAGAACATGGTATCGTAAATCATGGTATCTAACTTAAACTGTTGTTTTTCTACAAAAAGTCATTCCAGGTATGGAAATGTAGGGAATATACTGACACTTCAAAATGCATGTTTTAAAAAAATATTTCTTTATTTCCATTTTCTTCTGCATGCTTCTGAAGGACAAATTAGGTTTTATTTTTTACTTAATTTTGGACTTCAAAGGTTTTTAATTTGGAGGGCAGACCCCTACAAAAGGTGTAACCTTATTGTATTGTTGCTGTTGGAAAGACACTTAAAAGATCCTGTGAGAACTCTCTACTAAAACACTGTAACAGTTAATTTCCAGTGAGGGATATGGAGACCATGCTTTATAGAGCAGAAATAAAAAATTAATTTTTTAAATTGAATGTTTTTCTTAAGTCTTAAGAGGAAAGTCGTAGTAATCTTTTTGTTCCACTGCAGTCTTTTGAAACATAGATTGAATATAACATTTTCAAAGTAGCTTCCCCCATGTACTTTATTGTAAGTTGTTAATTACTGAAGTTTTCTCATTAGCTGGAGAGAGTTTCCTTGTTGGAAAGAAGACTTTACTTTTTGCCCAAAAGTCAAATGGTAAAAATGATCAGGAGTACATGATAAGTTATTTGTTGAAATTCATATCCATTGCTAACAAGCTGGCCTGAGTTAGTTTTAAAACAGAGTTATCCAGTGCTGCAGATTTAAAGGTTCTTTGGTCAGTAATAGTTCTTTATGCAGCTCTTGAAGTAACATTTCTCTTATTCAGTGTCAAACAGGTATATACAACCATGATCTAAGTTGCAAATATTTTTATCTTTGTAGATTTAATGCTGTTTTTTAGTAATACCTGTGTGAACTAACAGACTTCAGAACTGCAGAGCTCTGATGCTTTTTCTGGAGTTAGGCTTTCAGAAGAATTCTTTTCTGATTCAGGCATGCAAATAAAGTGCTTGTCTTGAATGTCCTTGTTGAACTCTGAATACCTGGGCAGTTAATGTAGATCTCTCTACAGAAGGAATTTCTTCTGAAAGCATAACTGTCCCCAACAGGTGAATGATGAGTTATTTCCAGATCTGATTGTACCATGTATCTATGCTTTTAATGGTTTATGTTATGTTGAGTTTAAATTTCACCACGTGGGGTTCTATTTTTAAACACTTACATAAATACTGAACTGTAAGTGCTCAGATGCATGTTTCCTGTTTTAGGTCTTAAGTGCTAAGCAAATAAATTTGTGTAAGCATATATACCTTTATTAATATTAGGCACAGAGCTAAGGAAAATAAATGTGGTATATTAACTGGATATTTTATCCTAGATTGATATTTCAGAAGAGCTTTAGATACATATGAAGCTTTTTAAAATTAAGCATAGTCCAGTCATGCATTTTGTGACTAACGTAATTTTATTTGGACAGGGTTTTAAAAGTCTTAACTAAAGATTTCTAAAGTGCTGTGTGAAAGACTGACTCCAGGTAGCATGGACTTGAATTGAAGTATCCACAGATAACGTGGGTATAGAAGTCTTCATGTTATATTGTTGTTAAAAGAATAAATATGCCCTATCTGGAAATAAAAAAACTGACACCCCCCTTCCCCCCCACCCCCAGTTTGACAATGTTTCTCTGTCTCATTTTTTTAAAAGGAGAAGCATTGTAGTTGGTATTTAAGGCAGAATAGGGCTCAGGTATAAAACTGTTTGCTATCTCCTCTGTTACATAGAGAATATATATTGCTTCAGATGTGCTTGTAAGGATGAAGTTACTTTTAGCACCAGAGTTGGTCTTAAGTATTGCTTTTAATTTTTAATTTACTTTACAAAGTTGGAGCATAACATTAGCACTCTTTAATTTCCAGCTCTTTTCCCATAATAACTAATTGAATTGCTCCTTTCTTCCTTCTATGTGTGATCCTGATTCTGCTGGACTATCTGCTGAACTCCATGACAACATCACTTGTGGTTTTTGTTGTAACTCATATTTGCAATATTCCAAATGGACTTGTATTAGCATAATGAGAGATTCCCTCAAGGAGGTCCATCACAGATGGGTTCACCTCTGGTTAGTAGGACGGGCTCTGAAACTCCTCAGCCGCCAATGAGTGGTGTAGGTGCCGTGAGTGGTGGACCTGGTGGCTTTGGTAGAGGAAACCCAGGGGGCAACTTTGAAGGACCTAACAAGCGTCGCAGATACTAAATCTGAATTCATTCCTTACTGTTTTAGAAATTCCAGTAAAACTATACAGTATATGCCTTTATAATTTTAGCTGTTATCTGGAAACGGTTCTATTGTTATTGTAGTCTTTAAAACAGTTTCTTTTGTAAAACTTTTTTTGTATTCAGTCATAGGCTTTGTAGTATAGAGCAGAAATGATGCGGATCATTATGTAAGGCAATGTGTTTGTGACTCTAGCAAAATACAATGTGTGACTATGCTGTAAAATGTGCAGTTATCTGATAACAATAAAAAAATCACTGGAAAGTATTTTGGGAATGTTATTACTAATACTGAGTGAGAATAATTTTATGCTTAATTATAAGTGGCATCATTTTCATTCTTACGTAATTTCTACTATGTGTCAGGAAAGTTAGTGAATCTGTTTAGCTAAACTGCATGGTGCAGTACATACTATGAAAAACTTATAACACAGCTGCTTTTGTTTGACTTTGGAAGAGCATAAAATTTTATACAAAGTGTTCTCAAGGATTCTGTGTATATGCATCTCAGTACACCATTGCAAACTTAGTCACAATAGACTTATCAACAGAGTATATCTGTTGAACAAGTTTTTAGAAAATTTAACCTGGGAAAGAAAAAAAGAAACTTTGGAAAGGAATCTGCATGTATGCTTTACTCATAACAAATGAATGAATTTACCTAAACCATACTTATGCAGAAGAAAATTTGTTGTGACATCTGTGTTCTGGTAATGGTTAAAGTATCTTGCCATTGTGAGGAAGGAGACATTTCTGCAAGCTGGTTTTGAAGCCTTGCACTGTGTAGTGCATCGTGATTAAAAAGTATACCTTTTCCCCAGTGGCTGGTTTGAACAGAAACACATCTGTTATCAATGAATAACTATTTAATAAGGAAGCAAATATATGTTTTCTAGTGAAAATAAGTGATTGTTTATAGTTGAGTAATATGCATTTAGAAGGGTTGCGTGAGTATTCTTCATAAAGGTTTTACAGAATGATGAATTTGAAAAATACCCAACTCAGGACAGACTTGCTGATTGAGACGTTTAGGAAGCTTATTATGATTCTGATTTTCTCAGTCATGGAAGATGATGGAAAAGACCTATTGGTTCTATTCCTGTAATGGCAAGTAAGTAGGGATGTAAGAACTGTTTTTATCAGTTCACTCGCATTTTCAGAGATAGAAATGACTTAATTTTATCTGCATGAATACTGATACTAAATTGATTAAAAACTGATTTTAGATAACCTGGTACCCTAATTATAATGGTATGAGGGTGCTGAGCATGGGGTGCACATAGCAGAGAGGGCATGTATATGTTACTTGTTAATGTAGCAGTGATAGTGTTGGTGGCTTTAATACTGAGCAAATGGGTAATAAGAAAATTGAAACATTGCTGGAATTTTGGAAGTACACGCTTAAATTGGCATTGTTATAGGACTTAAGATAGCTATTGTTTTCATAGAATACGGGAGTTATGTGTAGGTCCTTGTGATATCTGTAACTGCTAAGCCTTTTGCTCTTTAGTGTTACCATTTTTTGCTTGATTTGAGATCCGTGCTACACTTCATAGTTTGTATAATACAATAGCAAGTTATGCTCAGAGTCTGAAATACTCTTTGCCCTACTTGATCTATGTATCACATTATGGCACTCATTCTTAAACTAAACCACGACCAAAACTGTAACTGGTTTTACTTAGCACACTAGTCCTAAAACTCAACTTCTGGAAAATTTTTGTTTTCTTACTAGTGTAAACCAGTGTTTGCATGTAGCAACTACTTAAACTCTCTGCTTTGGTATCCTGCGTTCAGTTGAAAATGCAGTTTACATTGATGTCTAGTAAGATTACTTTTTTCTCGTCTTTTCTGGCCATGTCCTTGACTTTTTTTAAGGAATTCAGAAAGCATTGGTGTGAATTGGTAGTTCTAAACTATAAAGTTGTACAAGGAATATGTTTTAAATATAATTTGACTAGATTCAAGAGATTTGTTCATTTTTTTTCAAAGGAAAAGGCTGTGTCATTCAGGCCTTTTAGCTAACTTCTGTGTATTTTTTTATTATATATAAACTTCTCCTTGTAGTGTCTTGAGTATGTTTCAGAAATACATTAAACATACCAAGTCTATGAAAGTGGTTCGTTCTTTCCTTGCAACTTCATGCTATTTTAAATGCGTATTTGTTGTACTGCATTTTTGCTAGCAAGTGGAGGTATGTATGTATTTTAAAGTTACTGAAGATTTTAATTAATATTAGTGATTCCACAGTTGTGAGCTATCCTTCCTGTAAACCTCTGCATGGTAGCAATAGATTTGTCAGCTGTCTTTACTGCATGAGGAATCATCTCATCTCTTATGTATCCATGAACCAAGTCCTAACAAATAAATCCTGAAATGTTGACTTTGGGCACACTAAAGATTTCATGGAGAATGCCTTTTGTAGCCAATGACACACTGCCAAATTCAGCTCTTAATAAAAGCTTTCTTAGGGCTCTCTGGACGTGTTGATTGCACACAGCTCAACTCTAAAGGGAGGGCTTCTCATTTTGCCAAAGGTGCTAGTAACTAATTCTAGCTGTACAATGAACACCTAATTTCCAGAGAAAAAAAAGGAATGGTCTCAGTTTGTTTCGTAAGCAGTGTTACTTCTTGAAGGTATTGCCTTTGCAACAAAGTGATTGATTTTTCTTGTTCCTCATCTGGTTGATGAGTTTATAATTTTTTCTGTGTACACATGTACTTAAGTTTTTAAGTACCTCTGCCCTGCTTGAGTAGAAAGCACAGTGGAGTCCTGACTCTCTTTGCTGTACGCTGTGCTAAAACAAATAGGTATGGAATGTATATGAAATCTACAACAACAATGCACTTGCTTTTGTAACGTACATATTGAGCTTTTACAATATTCCTGAAATTTCAGTCTAAACTGCTTAATTTTCATGTGAGATACAATTTGAATACTGAAAAATAACAAAGCTTTATGATTCCATTTAAGTTAAAGAAAACATGCCACTACCAAAATCTGGCTTGTCTAACTGCATTTGCATTTGTCACTTCAGTCAGTTGAAAGGGAGCTATTAGGCACTTCAAAAATAAAAAATTAATTTTGGTTTTGGGTTACTATCTTTGTAGTTCTGTCCAGTGTGCTCATTAGATAAAGCATGTTGATATCTTAGGAAACTTGGTGGTGATTCAAATATACTTTACTGTATTTATTTCCCAAGAAAAATACAAATTACTATGGATTACCTAGAAAGAAAATTCCTGTCCTTGTTTCATTTATTGTCCATTTATGTTTTACCCAGTTGTACATAAAGACACCATAAACTGGAGATTCTTACTAGAAAAGAAGGCAAGAAGACTATGAACTAAATATTGCATTAATTTAATTTTGACCATAATCCATTAGGATTTTATAGCATGCCACCTTTGAGGAGCATTCTGATCTAATAATATGCTCTCGTATTTTAAAATGTCATACCAAACTAATTTTCTCCCTTTTCCACTTTAATGTCACATGTAGAATAATCTTTAATTGCATATTCTTTGAAAACGCAGTGACGTTGGTGAACTACACTCTGCTAAATGGTCACAATCTCCCTTGAGATAACTTAGCTCAAAAATGCTGAAATAACCCATCTAAAAGCAGATTCTCAAGTGAAAACCAAAACCCATTAGGCCTTTTAAAGAAAAAAAATGCTCTTGGAGCTGAGATGTTCAGCAGATGAATGGTGTGCTCTGATAGCATGAAGTTCATTTTACTTAAGCATGTTGCAGAAACGAATTTTTTTTTGTGTACTTTATATATATTTTGTCTAACTGCATTTGCATTTGTCATAATTTTGCAGTTGGATCATAATTTTGCCCTTCAGAAGTCAAACTGTAATTGAACTATATAAATGGCAAGGAAGGCTGGGTAGTGACTGGAATCAGTTTATATTGAACCACAAATGTGAAGGGATTATTCTAAATCCCATTCCTAAGACTTGAAGTGGTGCATATCTGTAGGTGGTTTTAGAGTCTGCATCCAAGCATCTTCTGTTAGCTTGTGCTTGTGCCTGTGCCCAAGGCTGGGGGAAATTTGTCTTCTCAGGAGTCTTGAAATTATTAATAGTGGCACTGTGCTGTCATTCACTGCAGAATTATCTTGGGATTTGATGCTTTCTTTGAGCTGTTAGCTCACTTTTGTAGCACGAGGGAATATCCGTCCAAACTTCCCTGATTCGTGAACAGTAAGGAGGGGGAATGAGTGTGGTCTATGGGAAATAGAGAGGTTGGACATTACTACTTTAGATGATTCTATTTAGTGCTAGTTTAGTGGAAAATGTTGGACTGTAGTAACCCAAAAGCATTTACTTTCTTAAAAATTCACGTATTGAACTGTGAGAGCTTAGTAACAAAAGGGTTGACTAAAAAGTAGGAATACCTAATGTCAGGTATAGTTTTTCCCATGAACTGGGGTTTTGTTGCCTTTTGGGATAAACTGTGAAATAGTAGGTGGTCTCACCAGTTTGGTGTTTTGTTAATAGTTTCGTGGTTTTTTCCATAAAGTTTTTTTTAAAAATCAGAGTTGTAGGCATTTCAGGTGTGTTTTCACAGTACTCCATGAAATACTGAAGTTTATTATCTATGTCTAAATAGATAAAACAGAACATTAAATTTTCATGAAAACAGTACTTTTGATGATTTTAAATGCATGGAAACAAACCCTTAATATGTTAGTTTTTAGTGGGATAGATTTAATAGGTCTTTTCCATCTTGAACTTCCTTAAAATACTATGAAAATTTATATAAGATTGGAATTTGGAGGTGTTCTTATTAATATCCTCAACCTGACTCTTAAAAACAGTAAGAGATGGGTTTCTTCAGAAAAGAGTTTGGAACAGCAACCATTTTTCCCTAATTAAATGAACTACTCAAAAAAGTTTAAATTTAGAGATAAGCATAGCATACTTGCAGGTAAAACCATTAGAAGAACCCCTGCTTTCATATAATGATTATTATATACCCAAATCACATTAAAAGAAAAAAAAACAATTTTGTAAATGCGAGCAAAAACTTAACTGATTTGTATGTGGTCCCTCTAGTAGAGAACAAAACGCTCATAATGAGAGGTATGGGATTCAAGAAGAACTTGACTGTGTTACTACGTACATGTGTTGATAAGGTTTTTCCATTTGTTTTGGTAAACAGTTTGTCTAGCGCTTCCATTGTTCCTAGTTTTACTAGTGTGCTTTTATATCTCAATTTCTGTAGAGTAAAGCATAGCTGTATAATTTGATTGAATTGACATGCTAATTGTATGCGGGACATTAAGTGCTTGACTTGAAAGAATTGCAGTGAGAATAAAGATACTGTTCTTGCTTTTAAGTGAAAAAATACTGTGTAGATCCTGGAACAGGAATAAGTGTGAAGGGTCCTGTATGTAAATTGAAAAAAAAAAAAATGGGAGAGAGGGAATAAAGTAATGTAATAAAATGGGAGAAGTGTGGTTCAATTTTATATCTACAGCAGATTCACAGAAGTAACTTGAAATCTTGTTCTACATGAAAACCACGAACCAACTAATTTTTGATGGAAAAGGTGGAAATACCAGGTACATTCATGCTTGGATATTTTAAACTGAGTCTAGTGTTGTGGAAATGGCCAAGGAATAGCAGAAAACCTGAAATTAATTCTTGTTCTAAAAATACTTAATATTTTTTGGGCTTAGAGTGGGGTCACTGCAGTTGGCTGTGTTTCTTCTGTGTTGTTATGAAGTTGTTCTGTAGGGCTTGGTTTTGTGGCTGAATACAGCAACTGTATACAGCATACACACATCATGTTGTCGTAAGTATGAAACGGCTGATTTTAAGATTGGTAGCCTCTCATCAAACCAGTGAAACCCCAGTCTCACATCTGTGTCAGACAGAGGAGCACCAAACAGAAGACCGTGGTAAAGAAAAATAAAATAGTACATATTTATTAGTAATGATGGGATTAAGGTATTTTCATTAATTTTTTGCCTTAATTTCACTGCAATCAATTTTTTATTTGTGTGACAGGGAGTGTAATTTTATTATCAATGAATCTTTGAAAGAAAAAAATCCTTGCCTAGACAAAAAACCTCTCCCCAAAAAAACCCAGACCCAGAATATCTCAGTGCAAAACCCACCTCCAAGCAAAAGAGGTCTTCCCTTTTTAAATGCTTAAGCAAGGTGGAAGAGGAAATGTAAAAAATCTAAAAATATGTAAAAACCACAAGGATTTGTTGTAATTCTTTTTGCATCTGTTTGCTCCTGATGTTCTGGGCATTTTAATGTGTTTCTTTTTTTAAAAAAAGTTCCATTACTGTTCATTCTTTGCTCTAAAAGGATTTATTCTGCAGTGCTGTTACTAAGCTTTAAGTATTTTTATCAAGTGTAAAATTGCATGAGAAACCCCTGCTGCATAAACCAGCTATCACAGTACTGTAGAAAGCAGTCTTTGAATTGCCAGCTGGAATTAGTCTTTCAGACTGCTTCCAAAGGTTTTAAATATTTGTATGCTAATGGGAAATCGGAAATACTTTTGTGCATATTTCAAATACTTCAGTACATGCATTTACTGCAGATACTAATAACCCTTTGCCCTCCTTGCTGCTTGGTCCTGCATCTTGCCTGCTCTGTCCCCCTTGCATCCCTGTGCCCAGGCAGTGAGCGGGGTAAAGGACACCCAGTGGGAGTTACGATTCTTCTCATTTCAGTGTGCAAGGAAAGAAGATCAAGGAGCAGGCAGTAGAGCAGGACTCTTCATAACTGTGCAGAGATAGCTTAGTTTGTGCTGTAGACACAGAATGTAATTTTATGTATGTTCTCATTAAGTGACTTTGGAAGGATCTTCAGTACTTCTAAGAAATATGTATCTTAGAACAAATAAATAAAAAACATGTTGAGGACTTTAGATATATTAATAACATGGTTATGTTTTACATCCTGAGTGATAATTAGTCTAAGAGGAAAAATGTACACTAAAATGTTGAGCCAAGTTTTTTTGTGTGAGCTTGACCTGTCTGTTCACTTTCTGCAGTTGCCAAGAAGGTTACATGCAAGCCAGTAAAATATGGAAAATAGTGTTCTCCGTGATTTCTCCAGGAAAGATGCTATACACAGTTGCTTTAAAGAAGCAAGACTATTCACATGTACTTTTTCTTGGAAGAAAATATGTAAACTGCAGCTAAAAAAATGGGAAATACTGTCTTTTAAAATGCTAACATTCTTCATTCTTTGACACAATAGCACTGTGCTGTTCCATATATTATGTTTCGCTTTTAAGGGAAAGAGCATGTGAAAGGTAAGCCGCAGCTCCAGTTCTAATCAACTTCAAATCCAAAGCCTTTTCCAGAAGGCACAGAAGGAAAACTGTAATAATGAAACAGTAGTTCATCTTCAGTTTTGTTCCAGTTTGGAACATTGTTCTTCTAGGACTTCAGCATTATATCAGTAGCAGTTCCACATCTGACATTTTCAGAACCAGAGCTGTGCCAAATTAATGCAAATAAAGTTTCTGCTTTAGTGTGTGAAGAGTGCAATTACTGCATTTCAAAAATGAAATGTCTGGAGTTTTTAAAGAAAATGTATGAAAGAACTGTCATATATTGAATTGCTGGTTGAAAAGTGAAAATTATGTCAACTTACCAGTTGGGATGGCTATGCTTTTAGAACCATTTTGGGATATGTGTCAGTTTATCATTGCCATGTTAGTCTTTATGTAGTTTTTGTAATACCACTTAATGCAAGTTCACCATCATTCTTGCATCACAATTGTGTACAGTTTCATATTTTAGTCACATTGATGAATGCAAGGGAGTGTAGAACAGGGGTTCTAGAGCATTTGTTTTGTAATATGTAACTTGTTTAGGAGAATTTTTCATTGCTAAGCTTCCTTTCTGTTTTGTGTTCACTCTGCACGTTTTGAGCAAAATACACTTTTTCTATTGCATATAGAAAAAGTAGCAAGTAATGAAAAAGTGTTTATTAGGAGAGTAAATGGAAATCCTGTATGCCTCTTGCTGCTTCTAAAATGGCAGCTGATTCAGGAGAATAAAATCACTTGGTATACTTCCTGCATGATTATGCTAGACTTTTTCCTGCTTAGGTCACTCTCCAGTATTAATATTAAAGATTAAAAAAAATCTGTTTAGTTTCCATCTGCTTTTAATCCCAAACATGTGTACAAGGCAGTAAATTAATTCCAAATGCTCTGAATAGTACTCTAACGTCCCAAGTTGTATTAAACATGAAAAAAAATCAGTTTGAGTTTCATAGTTTTTAAAATGAAACTTTTTAACTAAATTAGAGTAAGCCAGTCCCCTGGGGGGCCGGAGGAAGCACAAATCTGTGGAGAAATCATGCTCTTGTTTTGAGTTGCGTTAAGTTACTGGGCATGCATTTTTTGTTCTTTGGGACCATTACATGAAACTTTGTTACAGAGATTTAATAAGAAATATAATTTGTCTTATTTTATCCAGTTACAAGTATTAATTAATTGCTAGCATCTTAAAAATAGAATTGGCAATTTAGCTACACGTACTTTACTGGAGATGATGGCATGTAATATGAATATCACAAACAGGGTAATTCAAGTGTTGGTAGTTACTAGTAGTATGTTGTGCTTTTAGGCCTAGGTGGATAAAAACTGATCTTGAGCATACCAGTGTTTTGCCCAGAACCTCGATACTATATTTACATTTCTGCTTTATTGCTGTGGGTTTTCATAGAAGTACTCACAGATTTGAAAGTGTTCATCTAGATATTTGAGGGAGGAGGAGGTAAAGGATTGATTCATGTATGTTGCTTCATTCTTGAGGCATCAGTTGGGAAAATTAGTATTGTAGAATCTTCTTTATATGATAGTTTTTTTAAAAAATCAAAAATTTTAAAACAACCTTGTATATTCAAAACTTCCAATGTGGAGGAAGCCAAGTGGTGTATCATTAAAGAGGTGGAAAAACTGTATTTTACTAAAGGTCTTATTTGATTTCTCGATCTTTCACTGATTAGACATTGAGGATGTTGTACCTCAACCCTAAACTTCTGTTATGATTAGGGTGAAAATTCTGCAAATATCTGCAAGGCTTTAAAAGGGATATGAGGATGTAAGGTGGCATACTGACTATAGGATTGGGCCAAATCATTAATCCTTGAAGCTTGTTACTGGCCTGCTCTGGTTATCCTAACCCATTCCATTTAAGGATTTGTTTCCTATTGTGTATTCCACGTTTCCTTCTCTTGTAAAAGCATTAAATTTTCTTTATGATGTGGAAGATAAGGGCTGTATGAAGTTTTGTTTGAGGGTTCTAACACTGAACTTGATGGAAGTGGGCTAAAGAAAAACATCAGATGTGAGATGCACAGTAAAAACAGTTCTTTATATGATTTGGGAGGTTGTTACATATCTCTCCATATGTGTTTTATAAGTATATGAATATCATTTATGTATTCTTGATCTGTTGTGTTGTTAAAAAGAATTATCTCTTCCTAAGGGGGCAAAAAAAAAGGACTTTCATCTGGATTAATTAAACTTCAAAGTTTCTCTTTTGTGTAAATAAACACAATAATTAAGTAACAAAATACATGAGAACTTAGTAATTATCCTTTCTAAACTCACAGGTATGTGGAAATACTAATACAGAAAAGTGAAAGTAGATAAGTGCTCTTCGTAGATTTACAGATGGAGAGCTAATATTGTGGAAAAACAGGAAGATGTGGTTTGACCTCATCTTTCAATTTGCAGCATCTGAAAATTCAGAAACTCTCATAGAATTAAAAACTCCAAATATGACTCTTAGAAACTTCATCTGAAAATCTTGAATGTTGTTTCAGAGTTCTGCTACAAATAAAACTAGTTCAATGGAAGCATTCAAATAAAATACATGCTGTAATGGTCAAAGTAAGTCTGAAAGCCTGTGTTTCATTAAGATGTGGAAAAGAGTTATGTTATTGGAGAGTTGGCTTTATTTCCTTATATTTTGAGGTTTTGTCTATATGACCTTAAAGGAAAAGAGGTGAAACTACGTTAAGTGACATGCAGGGAAAGGTCTAAATATGCAAGACAAAACTGTGCTGGGAAAGGACTGGAGTCCAAATACGTATAACTTATGTACCAATGCTTCCAATAGAGGACTTCCATTACAAGTCTAGAGAACTCCTGAATAAAAACAGGTGCTGCCAAAATCTGTTCCTGCTCTTACTGCAGGAAAATGTCATCTTTCCCTTGATTGTGACAAAACAAGAATAGAGTTATCAGGATTCAAGTTTATGAAGAACATAACTATCTTGCCATAATGATAAATCTGAATGGTTGAAGAGTTAGCATCTTAGGTAGTTTGTCTGATGAGTGGGTGTGTGTAC